TATCGATTCCAACAACGATGAGCGTAGGGACAAATTTCCGAACCTGCACTACAATAATTTCCTCCTTCAGATCTATACTAAATGTATTATGGTGATCATTCCCTCGGGGATTTCCACCGAAAAGTGACATCTGAAAATCCATTATCACCACGGCCCACGCTTCTGTGTTTCCATCTTTATACATACGTCATCCAATAACTCTTCATCCCAAAATTTTACTTCATACGAAAATGATGTTTGTAATTTATCATTCACTAATGCATCATGTCAGTCTTTATATTATGCTTTATTGTCATATTGCGCGGTCTCATGATACATGAGATCCGTCCTTCTGTTGTGGACACCGTTCTCCGTAGTTTCAGCACACACAATGTAACCACAAAGCCTTCATTTTCTGTTTCATGTTGGCTGTCGGAGTTTAACCGCGCCGTATGTTAAAGCTGCCCAATTATTTTGGCGAACACTTCTTCAATGCTGAAACAGGTTAAAATCCATGATGTGTTGAACCTCGAAAGATGGTGTTAGGCATTGGACACAGGTTGATAAAACCTGTGTTTAAGAATGTTGGCTTTATTTTGAAATGCTTAGTAATATGTCTGTTGGTGAGTCTGGCTATAGCTCGCTCTCAGAAAGAAACTACAATGAGATGCCGATCGAAGAACAGACATTTCTTGCGCTTTATTGAATTCAGATAAATTCCGACTCAAGATGTTCTCGAAGAACCAGAGTCTATCATGAATAATAATAGGCCAAACTTACATGGTAACCCATGCAGGGCTGCCTAATTTAAGACTATATGGGAATGTTCCGTGTTTATGTTCGTATTATGCAAGGGTTCTACTTACTATACTTAGTCCAGAAGTGGCCGTAGTACAAGGGACTTAGTCCCATACCACTATCAATAAAAAATAATAATACTATACTTCTTTTATTGCTAGTGGGATGGGACTAAGTCCCTTGTACTACGGCCACTTCTGGACTATTGTACCAGCCCCAAATGATGGGTGAGGGTGATTGTGGAGCAATTGGTAGAATGAACATTGGCAGGGGAAACCGAAGTACTTGGAGAAAACCTGCCCCAACGCCACTTTGTCCACCACAAATCCCACTTGACCAGACCCGGGATCGAACCCGGGCCGCCGCGGTGGGAAGCCAGCGACTAACCGCTTGAACTGTGGCGCGGCCCTTAATACTATACTTAGTAACCGTCGGTTTTTATTTTTGCTGTTACACCCTTTTCAGTATGTAGGAGAATTCATGTGCTTGAATTTTTTAATCGTCTTTGCTTCTTGGGTTTACGAGTATATTTATATTCTCTCCTTCTCTTGCCAAAGATTTGAAATGTTTATAGGCTATGTCGAAAAACCGAATTATTTATGCTATTATACTTAAAAGATGCTTAACTAATTAAGCACTACGCAATGAAGGCGTGTGGGGGGAGTTGATGTATAGAGTCACGTTTTCTTGACCTCGGCACTAGTTGGATATGAGTGGTCAGTTTCACGACCCGGTAGTTTTACCCCGGGGAAAGAACCCCAGTATATATTGGATAGGAGGTTGGGTGAACCCCAGAGCCGATTTGAACGACGTGGAGTAGAGAAAATTCTTGACCCCACCGGTACTCGAACTCCGACCCCTCGGTCGTCCAGCCAATAGCCCGTCGTTATAGGAAGTGCGCTATCCCGGCTCCTTGTTATTATACCTACAGTTTTTTGTAAAACCCATTTCAGTTATTGGCTTTAATTTTAGCTTGGTCTATGACCTTTGGGCTCTGGCCGCAATCCTATACACGGCCACAGGTGCAGAGGTCTCATGGATGAAAGTGAACACCGAAGTAGAATAATTTACGGGGTTGGGAGCCGTTATCAAGGAACGACCAGTGAAGACAGGCGAGTAAGAAGACATATTGCGTGCTGTAGCTAATGGTAGAATGTGTGAATTGGCGATAGCGCTGTAGTTCGTTGTAGTTGCTAGATTCAAGGGTCCGATAAATCCAGTTACCATTTCAAACCAAGTGTCTAGTCGCTAAGTGCGTCGTGATAGTATCATTGAAATGTAATATACTCGTTGCCGCGGCTTCTTTGCACGAAATGCTAGTCATGTCTTCCTCCCTCTCTGTATCTGTGTGTTTCAACTCGTGAACGGTCGAACAGATTTTGATCATATCACTGGAGACTACTTCGAACGCGTGCGCTTTCATTTCCTACAATAAGTAATTCCAACATGATAAGATCACGAACTTGTGAGATGGGAGAGCCACTAGCGCCACTTAATATAGGGTATTGAAATTGTGTATAGTAACAGATTCTTGAATATCTTACTTTGTTACTAGGATTTCGTTTTTTAAATCGTAAAACAAAATGGAAGCTGCATGAAACCTGTATTTATTTTTCGGTCTGATATCGATAATCAGTGCGCCATTGCGGTTAGGATATGAAATTTTGTATGGGAACAGGTAATGAACATGCATAACTTATATGTCAACAATTAAGAATATGACGATGGTATGAATCTTTGATGTGTATGGTTAATTTAAAGTTCCCCAAGAAGAAAATAAATAAATAAATAATATTGTTAACGTGTTTATAAATTTGAGCCGCCTCTCTAGTCTAGTGGTCAGAGTTCCTAGCTACAAATTCAGAGATCCTGGTTCGGTTCCTGGCGCTACCAGAGTTCTTTTTCTGGGAAGTAGTGGGTCTGGAACGGGGTCCACTCAGTCTCGTGATGATAATTGACGAGCTATTTCAAGGAAAGAGCGGCTCTGGTCTAGAAAACCGAAATTAACGACCATGGGGATTCGTTGGGCTGACCAAGCGACACTCTCTATCAGCTAAAGTTGGCATTAATTTGGCCGACAAGCGGCGGTCGCTCGGTCGGTATAGTTCGCTTGCGGACTAAAATCACGGAGTTTGTTTTGTTTTTTGTTTGTGTTTGTAAAATTATTTTTAATAGCAGGAGCTTTCAGAGCGCAAAGGCGCAAAGAACGCCTTTGGAAACTGTATTCCTATACAAAATTGTATTTTTAAGCGCAGTGTCCTCCGGTGGTAGAGTCGAAAGGGTACGTCAGCAGTGACGAAAAATTTAACTCAGTTTTTATATCACTGCAATGTAATATATAACGCGACGCCTACATTACCGTATAACCTATTAACCCCTCCATACTGGATTTTATCCAGAAATAATTCTTTTATAAATAATAGGTAATATAGGCTTATCTGTAGTTGAAAATTCACAGTTAATTAAATTGAAATATTGAATTATTTCATTTCATTTTTCTTATCATGATATCAAGCACCAAATGAGTCCATATTTTAACTGAAAGTGCAGTGTTGTTATGAGTGAAATCACAAGTGTAGAATGCAGATGGTTAAGGTACCAAACCTTTATTCAGAACTGTTTCGATAGGACCTGTGATTAATGGGAAAATTTGATGAGGTACACGCAGATATATTTTCGGACTGTGTGATGCTTAATCATGTCAGCACCACACCATGGAGACGTATGGGAGATTGGAGTTGTTTGTCCATACATTCTTAACTATCTCTGCACTACACTATGCTAAGTACTTAGTTTCACGCTCTGGCCGTTTTGGATGTGGTGCCGAAAAGAAGAATCCCTAAACTTTCAGGCAATTGCAGCCAGTAATCAATGATCCTCACAACTGACTCTCGCAGATCATGACTCTGTGCAGTCAATAGGTGAGTGTCTGTATGTCCACAGTAATAAACATCAAGTTCAATGATCACAAATTTCGCATTTCGGAAAATCGTAAATTTCGTTATGTACGCTTTCCTGTAATTCTGTTTTTGGTTTCATTAGATGCACGGTGATATATAGGACTATTGACATCTCATGACATGTATCTCATCGGAAACAGTGTGAGATATTCCGATCCTCAACAGAAGTAAATCTCCTTTTATATATTTTTTTAATTGTTTCTTGCATCCTGTTGTGTGTTTAATTAACAGTAGAGTGAATTTACCGACTACACAACACGTTTATTATTATCACTACATGTTTCGACCTCAAGAAGTCATCCTCAGGTGTATGAACACGGCTGTATAATTACACGCGGTCACATTCACTTCTCACTCTTTCGACTCTGTATCTTAACCCATCACGACAACGGTCATAACAGATCCAGCCGCATCAGAGAACGCGGAAGAACAGCGAGACCTCACAAACAAATGAAAGTGCAACCAATAACATAAGTTGAATTTTAATTCACGAACTTTTAACCAATAATAATAATTAAACTAGTTAAAAAAGAACTAGACACAGTTGTGAGCGTAAGTAAAATGAGACTCTAAAAACAAGTGAAGTGTAACCAGTGACATGAATTGAACTTCGATTCACGAACTTTTAACATTTAAAAATTAAATTAGAATAATAATTTTAACCTGTGTTTTATAAAAAGAACTCGATATATTAGTGAGCCTAAAGATAAGATACAGGGTCGAATAAGTGAAAAGTGAATGTGACCTCGTGTAATTATACAGCCGTGTTCATACACCTGAGGATGACCTCTTGAAGTCGAAACATGTAGTGATAATAAAAAACGTGTTGTGTAGTCGGTAAATTCACTCTACTTCTTTTATATGATTGAGATATTCTGAACTCAAAAATTAATTGACAGTTCCATTTCGCAAGCCAGTAACACCAAATGGTAGGAAACGTTTCTTTCATTTAACACATCAAACAGCAAATAAATCCTGATTAGGAGTACATTTGTCCACAAGCAACATATCTCGAACGCAGCATTAAAACGGCAAGAAAATCGGCCTGATTTCTTGAGGAAAAATGAACGGCTCCTTATTCAGTAGGGTACGGGAGATATTGTAACATATCTTGCAGATTTCATTGACCATTTTATTCAGTGACGATCACAGTCACTCTCCTGCGTTGCATGCTGGGAGTAACCTTATAACTTGAATGAAGCCTATTATTATAATTTAGTTAACGATTATAATAAACAAATAACAATTAGACTCTCTCTCACACACTCACACATATTTCCTTGTGAACTAATTCGATTGTTTTCTTATCTGCCTAGTTTTCAGATCACATTTTAATTAAACAAAAAATATTAAACTTGTCGTTGTATTGATATAATTTATACGTCCGTGAAGATTTCTCACTTATAAACTTGTGTCAAAGTTTCAAGAAGAACGATAATGGTGGAGACCCTCTAAGTAGCATAGCCAAAGAAAGCACACTGTACTAAACCTGCCTGATTCCACGTTTCCACCACTTCGCCCGATGCTAGACCTGAGTAACCTGAGTCATGTTATTAGCAGTAGTGCAACCATTGTTATCACCGTTACCATTATGCTGAGGTACCAGTAACCACCTGTCCAACATCGACGGACGAAAAAGAAGACTAAAAGTGGACCGAAACTGCCTACTCATTGCACAGTATAAAATGAAATTAATTGCTGAATTAATAAGTGCTAATATATCCATAACTTCACCTAATTTCTGATAACAGTTTTTAAAGAAATTATCGCCAAACCAAACCGATAATAGGCCTAGTATACCTTGTGGGAATTCTGTGAGAAGGAACAACAATAAAACAGCCAGTAGCATCCTTGTTGTGCGGTCGGTTTGCCTTTCTTTCTCCAGTAACCTCGAACTTCTCGTAGACTTCTTCCCACCTGGACCTGATGGAGTCGTCAATTGTTGTCGCCTCCGCTTTGTTTCCAACAGCGCACATATCAGTCTGCGGCTTAACTCCGTGAGGGCTGCGCATGGTATCAACTTAATGACAACACTGTACACCCAGAAATTGATATGGCTGAGAAGATTGCTGTTCGCTTTACCCAGCTCTGACATGTTGACGATGTATAGTGTAATGTTTCTCGGTCCACCTTCTACAAGTTCTATGTTGTCAGATTTCTTTAGTATCTGACCATATTTGTCCACAATGGCAGTTTTTGGATGTATACTAAAGGCCAGAAAAAGCGGGATACAAAGCAAAGGGCTCACGACGTAAGCGCTTACAATAGCTGCGATTGTGGTCTTCATGCAACACCATTCTCTGTTCCGCTGAGGGTGAGCCACCGCAATGTATCTCCACACGGCCAGGGTCACTGTCAGCCAGATTGATACTGTGTGGCATACCTGCGAACAAAACACGGTATCTTTACCACGGTGACGCTACTTTGGGGACAAAGGGTTACACACTGGCGAGTTCGGGTGGAAGGGGATATTGTTGGTCACTTTTGTGGAAAGGTAACAGATTAAAGGAAATTTAATTTGCTTAATTGAGGACAGATATACCGTGTCTTATAACAGATGATTCTGCTACAGTTCACTCTTACACACGAAATCCATAATAATGTCTAGACATTTAGAGCAGACATAATAAAGTAATATGCAACAAGTTAAATAATGTAAGATTTGAGGCTTTCACGGCGGTGACTATGAAGAAAGCAGTCTTCTGGGATTTGGCACCGTGTATATGTGGTGTTAACCGACGTTTCGGAGGAACGTATTGCCTCCATCTTCAGGGTAAAAGGAAAAATATAAGAAATCCGCAATCGAAGAGACCGTGAGAACCGGTAAAAGCAGTCTG